CCTGCTGAGCAGGAAGATGACAAGTCCGCTCCGCTGCTGCAGAGCAGACACACACAGCCCGCTATCTTTTATGGGGGGATCCGCTGGGCTGGGCGGATGAGGAACGGATACCCATGTGTGTTTGTGTTTTTTTTTTTTTTTTTTGTTTTGTTTTTTTGTTTTTAAGTACAGGATGGGATGCAGGCAGGTAACAGCGGACACCTTCTGGTCCATAGAGGTATATGGATGGTCCGATTGGGTCCACCTGTAAAACTACCCGATAAGACCATCGGTGTGAAAGGAGCCCTAAGATGATCATCCTTGATGTATCTATGGAGGATCAGGGTTGTCACCCTAGGCATCTTCTGTTCAGTGGATTGCAGTAGGTGGCTTTGGCCCCTAATTGAAGCCTTAGGGCTGCCTGAGTTCTGTTAAAAAAAAAAAAAAAAAAATAGTAAACAAATTAAGGATGAAGTTCTGAAAGAGAAATGTGGAAAACATCCATGTTTCACAAAGTGCCAGAAGACCAGTTCAGGGCTCGTTACCAGCTGACGTGTTGATCCAGGTTGCACTGAAGGTTGATGTTCATTTTTCATGTTTCCTAATCATGATTTTGATGTTTTCCTTCTGCCTTATTACAGCTTCTCAGCCTAAAGGTCAATGTTTTTTATTTTTTCATCTTATTTCCAGAAAAATGCAAAACCTTCCTTCAGGAATTTTACAAAGATGATGAGTTTGGAAAGAAGCACTTTAAATATGGAACACAGCTGGTGAGTCATTGGGGTGTTCATTCGGTTCTGGAGTGAATTGTGCCCATTCCCCTTCAGGATAGCACATGAGAATGGTCTTACCTAAAACGGGGAACGCAATGTGCACATTCAAATAGTGTCATCTCTGGCCTCAGTTGGTGAGCAGTTTTTTTTGTTTTTTTTTTGTGTTTTTTTTTTCTCTCTAAGGGAAGGAAACTTACTACCCTGTTTCCCCCAAAATAAGACCTACCCCAAAAATAAGACCTAGTACTATTTTTGGGAATTGCTGAAGTATAAGACCTACCCTGAAAATAAGACCTAGTTGTGATCAGCTGTTCCACCACCTCTGGCACTGGCCCTGTGTACACAAATATCTGTCTCCTATAAGCACAGAAGCGCGGCTTTTGTGTTTCCAAGTGACAATCCCTCTTGTAAGTAACAGCACCATCCGCTCCCACAGAACCCCCCTACCTCTACTCACTGTGGGAAGGAACAGATATCTGAGGGTGCAGTGTGTTTAGGGGTGGGGCAGGGCATCTCATCCTGCAGCCTAATGCATGTGGTGAGTGCGCTTGGTGCACTGTGTGGGAAGATCGGACCCGAAGCTCACTTCTGCATCCCCTGTCTGTGGCTCATCTCTGCATCCCCTGTCTGTGGCTCATCTCTGCATCCCCTGTCTGTGGCTCATCTCTGCATCCCCTGTCTGTGGCTCATCTCTGCATCCCCTGTCTGTGGCTCATCTCTGCATCCCCTGTCTGTGGCTCATCTCTGCATCCCCTGTCTGTGGCTCATCTCTGCATCCCCTGTCTGTGGCTCATCTCTGCATCCCCTGTCTGTGGCTCATCTCTGCATCCCCTGTCTGTGGCTCATCTCTGCGTCCCCTGTCTGTGGCTCATCTCTGCATCCCCTGTCTGTGGCTCATCTCTGCATCCCCTGTCTGTGGCTCATCTCTGCATCCCCTGTCTGTGGCTCATCTCTCTGCATCCCCTGTCTGTGGCTCATCTCTGCATCCCCTGTCTGTGGCTCATCTCTGCATCCCCTGTCTGTGGCTCATCTCTGCATCCCCTGTCTGTGGCTCATCTCTGCATCCCCTGTCTGTGGCTCATCTCTGCATCCCCTGTCTGTGGCTCATCTCTGCATCCCCTGTCTGTGGCTCATCTCTGCATCCCCTGTCTGTGGCTCATCTCTGCATCCCCTGTCTGTGGCTCATCTCTGCATCCCCTGTCTGTGGCTCATCTCTGCATCCCCTGTCTGTGGCTCATCTCTGCATCCCCTGTCTGTGGCTCATCTCTGCATCCCCTGTCTGTGGCTCATCTCTGCATCCCCTGTCTGTGGCTCATCTCTGCATCCCCTGTCTGTGGCTCATCTCTGCATCCCCTGTCTGTGGCTCATCTCTGCATCCCCTGTCTGTGGCTCATCTCTGCATCCCCTGTCTGTGGCTCATCTCTGCATCCCCTGTCTGTGGCTCATCTCTGCATCCCCTGTCTGTGGCTCATCTCTGCATCCCCTGTCTGTGGCTCATCTCTGCATCCCCTGTCTGTGGCTCATCTCTGCATCCCCTGTCTGTGGCTCATCTCTGCATCCCCTGTCTGTGGCTCATCTCTGCATCCCCTGTCTGTGGCTCATCTCTGCATCCCCTGTCTGTGGCTCATCTCTGCATCCCCTGTCTGTGGCTCATCTCTGCATCCCCTGTCTGTGGCTCATCTCTGCATCCCCTGTCTGTGGCTCATCTCTGCATCCCCTGTCTGTGGCTCATCTCTGCATCCCCTGTCTGTGGCTCATCTCTGCATCCCCTGTCTGTGGCTCATCTCTGCATCCCCTGTCTGTGGCTCATCTCTGCATCCCCTGTCTGTGGCTCATCTCTGCATCCCCTGTCTGTGGCTCATCTCTGCATCCCCTGTCTGTGGCTCATCTCTGCATCCCCTGTCTGTGGCTCATCTCTGCATCCCCTGTCTGTGGCTCATCTCTGCATCCCCTGTCTGTGGCTCATCTCTGCATCCCCTGTCTGTGGCTCATCTCTGCATCCCCTGTCTGTGGCTCATCTCTGCATCCCCTGTCTGTGGCTCATCTCTGCATCCCCTGTCTGTGGCTCATCTCTGCATCCCCTGTCTGTGGCTCATCTCTGCATCCCCTGTCTGTGGCTCATCTCTGCATCCCCTGTCTGTGGCTCATCTCTGCATCCCCTGTCTGTGGCTCATCTCTGCATCCCCTGTCTGTGGCTCATCTCTGCATCCCCTGTCTGTGGCTCATCTCTGCATCCCCTGTCTGTGGCTCATCTCTGCATCCCCTGTCTGTGGCTCATCTCTGCATCCCCTGTCTGTGGCTCATCTCTGCATCCCCTGTCTGTGGCTCATCTCTGCATCCCCTGTCTGTGGCTCATCTCTGCATCCCCTGTCTGTGGCTCATCTCTGCATCCCCTGTCTGTGGCTCATCTCTGCATCCCCTGTCTGTGGCTCGCCTGTCAGTTCACCTCTGCAACACCTGACAGCAGCTCACAACTCCCATCTGTCATCAGCCGACCCTCTCTATAGTAACCCTCATCCACAACTGCCTGCAGCTCACCTCTGCACCCCCTGTCCACACCTGTACGTTAAAAAAAAAAATAAGATCTACCCTGAAAATAAGACAGTGTGTGTGGTCTTTTATATTTTTTTTGGCTCAAAAAAAAAGACAGTCTTATTTTCGGGGAAACACTGTATTTTCTTTGGCCCCTGTGCTAGTAGACAGGGGTGCCCTCCCAGTCCAAGCATTGAGCCAAGTATCTAAATGCTTTAAGGAAAGGTGGGCAGGAGATCTTCCAAAAAAATAAAATTTAACATTAAGCGTTAAACTTCCCTGTTTAAAAAAAAAAAAAAAAAAGTTCCCTAAAGTTTCTCCAGTCCTAGTTGGAAGAACTACCCCCTTGCCTCGTGTGGGGTGTTTTTTTTTTTTTTGTTTTTTTTTTTTTTTTTTTATATATATATAAACATAGCTGGTTCCAGTTTTAGATGGAGCAGACAGGGCATTGTCAGGTAGATCTCAGCAAGAGCAGTGTCTTCCAAATTTTGACAATGGTCACTTCATAGCACTTTAGGGTAATACCTGGATTATGGGGTGCTGCTGATGAAGTGAACTTGTATTGTAAACTTGTAAATAATTTTTATGGCGTTAACGGATACTTTTTTTTTTTTTTTTTTTTTTTTTTTTTTTTTTGTTACCTCTTTAGACAAAAATAAATGTGCTTTTTTTTTTTTTTTTTTTTTTTTTTCTTACCTGCAAAAAAAATGTATTTTTGTCTACAGGAGCCTAGAAAACATTGCAACAGCGATCAGTAGATCATAGTGCTCCACAGTGCCGTGGTAGTCCATTCAAACCTACAAGCTGACAGCCGCCAATGGGGCTGTTGGAACTTGCAGGTCATTCATTCATGGAAGTCCATAGATGAATGATTTGGTTGTGTGGGCGAAGCCCCACCCGGCCACACTGTTTTCAAATCTGACAGTACGGGGGAAACTTCTCCCCTACTAACTGTCAGAGGGAGGAGGGGGGGTGCAATTTGGGGGCAGCTGCAGCTATGGGATCTTGAATCCACATGGGTGTAACATGTTCCCAAAGGTGATCCTTTAAAGCCCAACTCCTATAAACTGTCAAGCCCAACCGAATCTGTGCCTGTCAATGATTCCCAGCTTCCACAGGTATGGAACATTCATACTTGCATCAGTCCTAAGCTGAACCAATGTACAAATAGTCATACCTGGAATTCAGCTTTAATTGAGAAATTCCCTTCCCTCTCTCCCTTCCCTGGAAGACTTGAACATATGGATAGAAGATGCAATACAATTTCAACCATTGCTGGCACAATTCTCAATAGTATTAGGAAGTCATTGGGAATGGTCTTCTGTGCTCTGGTGATTATATGGGATGGTTGCCATTCACACCCCCATCTGCCGTATTTCAAATCTATCTCCCTTCCAGTCTCCTAAAATACTGGTTGTGGCAGCTTTGTCTTTTTTTTTTTTTTTGGGGTGTTTTTTGTGTGTAATCTGTTTTTCCAGAAATTGTATTGCAACAAATTAAAAATGGTACAAAAAACCTTTCCATATTCATCCAGAGTACGTTCTTCGGCATAAAGTGCCGTCCATACATAAGATAATGAACAATGTCATTGTATCTTAAACCGCTTTGACTTTTATGTTGCTTGTGGACTTCTGTAGTATGGCAGCGCTCTCCAATTTGCTCCATTCTGCTTTTTCTACATTGCTAATTTGATTGGGTGTCTTTGATTTTGTATTTCAGACAAATATTGCCCACAGGGAGCAAGTTGCTCTCTACATAGACCTGGATGATCTGGCAGAAGAAGATCCTGAATTGGTGGATGCCATTTGTGAGAACACCAGAAGATACACCAGTCTCTTTGCTGATGCGGTTCAGGAATTGTTACCCCAGTATAAGGAAAAAGAGGTGACTGTAGAAATTGGAAGGCGTCTTAAGGGTTGTACTGTGCCTTTCACATTTGATTCTTATTGGTTGGGAAACCCCCCCCCCCCCCCCCCCCCCAAAAAAAAACCTGTTTTGTGCACTCTCCTTACTTGGATGTGTTTTGGGTTTATTTTTGGGCCCTTCATTTAGATAGGCGTGCAGCCCAATTTTTAATGTTGGCAACCCCAGAGGTAGAGATCTTCTTTTAATACACAAACTAAAGATCCTGGGGATCTGTGGCAAAACTTTCAAAGGGTCCTGTTAAAGTAGGTGTGGTCAGTCCACCCCTGGCAGGGATACATGTAATCCACCATTTGGCCAATGTGTAAGTAGCAATCCACCTATTGCTGACCAGGGTTAGATGGTTTGGAACTTGTGTTGGCATACTGCAAATTTTCTTTAAAGGAAACCTTTTGGGATGAAATTTTATATAGGTTCCTTTTTTACTTGACTTTGTTCTTGAAAATTCCATTTGCTGGGTGTTGGATGAAAGCTTCAGTATCTTAGTCATTGGCCTGGAATAATTCTGAAGATCAGTAGATCTAACCTTTCACTAGCTCAGTGCTTGTTCTAGGGCAGAAGGAATGGCAGCCCCTGTATCTCAATTCTGGTTTTAGAGATAAATTTGGTAGATACCATGTGCTTCTCGTGACGCAGGATCTCTTGTGTGTCATGCATTTTAGATGCCTTACCATTTACCTCTAACATGTCTGTGGTTCCCTTCTCCATGATGCAGTGAGCAGGATTTTTAACATTGCACCCAAAATGCTGTCAGGTGTGAATGGAGCCTTATGCAGGGTGAGGTCTTGTATAGTAGACCAACCCATTTGAATATTGGCAGGCCCCATTTCAGGCTGAGAATGTATGAAGATTTCAGGTGCAGTCCAACTAGCGTTCTAACAAACTTTTTATGGCTTTGGCATGCTGGAAGGAATTTGATTTCTGATGGGATCATCAGGCAGTTTTGCGCTTGCCGTGTTTTTAAATGCCAAACCATGTATACGTGTTGGAGAGAAATGTACTAAATTCTTGTAAAATCGCTCTTTATAGGTTGTGCATAAAGACTCTCTAGATGTCTACATAGAGCATCGGTTAATGATGGAGCAGAGAGGCAGAGATCCCTCAGAGATCCGGGACCCCCACAACCAGTATCCACCAGAGCTCATGAGAAGATTGTAAGTAGCAGTAGCTGTTGAGTCCAAGTAGTTTTTTGAAGGGTTGTCCAATAACAGCAGACAATGACTTTTTTTTTTTTTTTTTTTTTTTCCCCTTTTCCCCTCCTTTTTTTCCCCCTTTTCCCCTCCTTTTTTTCCCCCTTTTCCCCTCCTTTTTTTCCCCCTTTTCCCCTCCTTTTTTTTCCCCCTTTTCCCCCTCCTTTTTTTCCCCCTTTTCCCCTCCTTTTTTTCCCCCTTTTTCCCCTCCTTTTTTTTCCCCCTTTTCCCCTCCTTTTTTTCCCCCTTTTCCCCTCCTTTTTTTCCCCCCCTTTTCCCCTCCTTTTTTTCCCCTCCTTTTTTTTTCCCCCCCTTTTCCCCTCTTTTTTTTCCCCCCCTTTTCCCCTCTTTTTTTTTCCCCCCCTTTTCCCCTCTTTTTTTTCCCCCCTTTTCCCCTCTTTTTTTTCCCCCCTTTTCCCCTCCTTTCCCCCCCCCCCCCCCTTTCCCCTCCTTTCCCCCCCCCCCTTTTCCCCTCCTTCCCCCCCCCCCCTTTTCCCCTCCTTCCCCCCCCCCCTTTTCCCCTCCTTCCCCCCCCCCCTTTTCCCCTCCTTTTCCCCCCCCCCTTTTCCCCTCCTTTTTTTTTCCCCCTTTCCCCCCCCCTTTTCCCCTCCTTCCCCCCCCCCTTTTCCCCTCCTTCCCCCCCCCCCCCCCTTTTCCCCTCCTTTCCCCCCCCCCCCCCCTTTTCCCCTCCTTTCCCCCCCCCCCCTTTTCCCCTCCTTCCCCCCCCCCCTTTTCCCCTCCTTCCCCCCCCCCCTTTTCCCCTCCTTTCCCCCCCCCCCTTTTCCCCTCCTTTCCCCCCCCCCCTTTTCCCCTCCTTTCCCCCCCCCCCCTTCCCCTCCTTTTCCCCCCCCCCCCCCTTCCCCTCCTTTTTCCCCCCCCCCCCTTCCCCTCCTTTTTCCCCCCCCCCCCTTCCCCTCCTTTTTCCCCCCCCCCTTTTCCCCTCCTTTTCCCCCCCCCCTTTTCCCCTCCTTTTTCCCCCCCCTTTTCCCCTCCTTCCCCCCCCCCTTTTCCCCTCCTTCCCCCCCCCCTTTTCCCCTCCTTCCCCCCCCCCCCTTTTCCCCTCCTTTTCCCCCCCCCCCCTTTTTCCCCTCCTTTTTTTTTCCCCCTTTCCCCCCCCCCCCTTTTCCCCTCCTTCCCCCCCCCCCCTTTTCCCCTCCTTCCCCCCCCCCCCCCCCCCTTTCCCCTCCTTCCCCCCCCCCCCTTTTCCCCTCCTTTCCCCCCCCCTTTTCCCCTCCTTCCCCCCCCCCCTTTTCCCCTCCTTTCCCCCCCCCCTTTTCCCCTCCTTTCCCCCCCCCCCCTTTTCCCCTCCTTTCCCCCCCCCCTTCCCCTCCTTTTCCCCCCCCCCTTCCCCTCCTTTTTCCCCCCCCCCCTTCCCCTCCTTTTTCCCCCCCCCCCCCCTTTTCCCCTCCTTTTCCCCCCCCCCTTTTCCCCTCCTTTTTTCCCCCCCCTTTTCCCCTCCTTTCCCCCCCCCCTTTTCCCCTCCTTTCCCCCCCCCCCTTTTCCCCTCCTTTCCCCCCCCCCCCTTTTCCCCTCCTTCCCCCCCCCCCCCTTTTCCCCCTTCCTTTCCCCCCCCCCTTTTCCCTCCTTTCCCCCCCCCCCCTTTCCCCTCCTTTCCCCCCCCCCTTTTCCCCTCCTTTCCCCCCCCCCCCTTTTCCCCTCCTTTCCCCCCCCCCCCTTTTCCCTCCTTTCCCCCCCCCCCTTTTCCCCTCCTTTCCCCCCCCCCCCCCTTTTCCCCTCCTTTCCCCCCCTCCTTTCCCCCCCCCCCTTTTCCCCTCCTTTCCCCCCCCCCTTTTCCCCTCCTTTCCCCCCCCCCTTTTCCCCTCCTTTCCCCCCCCCCTTTTCCCCTCCTTTCCCCCCCCCCCTTTTCCCCTCCTTTCCCCCCCCCTTTTCCCCTCCTTTCCCCCCCCCCTTTTCCCCTCCTTCCCCCCCCCCCCCTTTCTTCCCTTTTTTTTCCCCCCCCCCCCTTTTTTTTTCCCCTCTCTAGTGAACTATACTTCAAGACTCCCTCCAGCGCCAAAGCTCGTGTTGTCCGAGATGTGAAAGCAGATGCAGTTGGTAAACTGGTTACGGTGCGAGGCATTGTGACCAGGGTCACAGAAGTTAAACCCATGATGGTTGTAGCAACTTATACCTGTGACCATTGTGGTGCTGAGACGTATCAACCGGTAAGTAATCTGATCTCAACCAGATTCTCAAGACAAATCTTTGTCTATGAAAAGCCCCCCCCCCACCCCTCCACTGCACAACAAACCCTCCAGTTTTAATACTTGTATTTAGCTATCCCAACCTGCCTTATCTGTGATATGGACCACATATGTATACCGATCCTGGCTTCCCACAATACATTGCTGTCTGTAGTGGTGGGGAGGAATAATAAAGAAAAGTTGGTGTATTGTTTGCTCTGCGGAAGAGGTATAGGGTGTAAAAATATAATGGTAACTGCTTTAGTGTGGTTGAGGTATATCTAATGTGTGGGTTTTGTGTTTGTTTTTTTTACAGATCCAGTCTCCAACCTTCATGCCTCTCATAATGTGTCCCAGTAAAGAGTGTCAGACTAACCGGTCAGGTGGCAGACTCTACTTGCAAACTAGGGGGTCAAAGTTTGTCAAGTTCCAGAACTGAAGATTCAGGAACATGTAAGGGTGTTTTTTGTGTGGGGTTTGTCTTATCATTTTCACCTCACAAGAGAACTTCATCTAAAGTCTTTTTGCATTCTGTATGTTAGAGTGACCAAGTGCCAGTTGGCAACATTCCCCGCTGTATGACGGTGTATGTGCGAGGAGAGAATACCCGTCTGGCCCAGCCAGGTGATCATGTCGGCATAACTGGGATCTTCCTTCCTATGCTAAAAACTGGTTTTCGGCAAGTAGTGCAGGTAAGAGCTGATTTTAATCGATGTATTCAACCCCTTGCCTGCCGGGCACTTGTACCCCCTTCCTTACCAGGCCAGTCTTCAGCGCTGTTGCACTTTGACAATTGCACAGTCATGCAACACTGTACCCATATGAAATTTTTTTCACACAAATGGAGCTTTTTTTTTTTTTTTTGTATTTACTCGCCGCTGGGTGTTTAAATTTTTTGCTCTTTGTTTATAGCGCAAAAAATAAATTTTTTTTTCTATTATAAAATTTTGCAAACAGGTAATTTTTTTTTTTCTCTTTTTGTGTTGATGGGGTGGCACGGATAGCTGGCACTGATAGGCGGCACAGAGCACTGACTGGCAGCACTGCACTGCTGGGTGACACTGCTGGGCAGTGATCATCACTGCCCTGATGATCGGTGCCGATCCCTCCTCTGACAGCTGCCTGTTCTCAGCTGTACTTTCCTTGCGCTCTGACAGCATGAGTAAAGTGCAGCCGAGAACCGGCAATTGCATTTCCCGGTGATCAGTGTCATTGGACATGGCTGAGCACGTGGTAAAAGGCCGCTGTGATTAGCCTTTTACCGTATCATGCGATCAACTATGGGGGGGGGGAGCATGCAGGAGAGCGCATCCTGGGAGGACGTCATATGACATCCACCCAGAACTGGCCAGCTGCAGTGCAGCCATCATTCGGTCGGCAAGAGGTTAAAATATTAAAGCAAAACTTTTTTTTATTTTAGATTTTGATAGAGTAGAGATGGTTTTGAACCACCTGTTTGGTTTTTATTGCTGTCTGTGCCCCCATTAAGGAGATTCGCCCTTTTTATTTGTCCTGTTTTACCATTTTTCAGTGAAAGTAAACGAAAACCACATTTTGCCTATAGTTAGTGATTCTAAAAACAAGAAAAAAGCAAATGCAGCCACCACATCTAAGGACTGGTGAGCTGCTTTTCCTAGGCTTTCCTTTGACCTGGTGATCAGGTTTGTAACACTTTCCTGTCCTAGTGTAACAATGTTCGATGTTTTATACTCTTCTTCTGGAGAACGGCATCATTGGTCATCCTAGGATAGGACTACATAATACGTGTCCCTCTCTCTACTCTGATGTGTAATCTAGTGGAGATGGCATGTACTACACAGAACTGGCCACGGCTGGTAAGACTTTGGGTGGTCAACTTTATAAAGCGACAGCATGGCCATTCTGCTGCCATAGTCTGCTTTAATAGTGGGGAGAAATACATATTTATAATGCACATTTATGTGCTTAGGACTCAAAAGCTGAAGGCGTGTGATAAAAACAATGGCGGGTGTGCATATAAAATGCCAGCTAGAGTCCAGTCATGGGACCCAGCTCTCCTTTTTCATGGAGTTCATTGAAAACACTGTAGGAATACTGCAGGTTCAGCAATGAGACTGCAAAGTGTTGAGTATTAGGGCTCATGTACACTGCAGCTGATAAACTCACATTTAGGAGCTGTTCAGCGTTTTGTTTTTTTTTTTTTTTTTTTTTTTCCCCAGCAGCCCCTGAACTCTCCCTAATGTTTTGCTATGTGTCCATGTACACATCATCGTTTCTTGGAACGCAGAAAACTTGCGTTCAGCAGTCGCTTTTATCAGCGTTTCAAACGCAAAATGCTTGTAAACGTGGCAAATCGCGTTTTTAAGTTTGCTTTTTTTTAACTCTTCCATTCCCCGATGCTGTTCAGAGCCTTTTTTTTTTTTTTTTTTTTTTTTTTTTTTTTTTTTTCCATCATGAAAAATGCATGCAAAGCGTTTTCAAGGTGCTCAGATGGACAAAACACTGAACACAGGATGTGCCTACCAAGCTTGTGACACATGGTAATGACCAATTCACAACTCAGACCTCTCCCACCCTTTGAAACAAAAGATGTTAATGACCATTCACACCTCAAATTCCTCATGAAGACCCCCTGCCAGGTGACCTTAATGACTCCCTCCACCAGACACCTTTCCCACCCTTGGAAACAAGAGATGTTAACGAGCAACTCACACCTAAGCTAATCTCAACATACTGCTGTCTCTGCTTCTACTCTCTGTATTTCTCTGAAATAGTTAATAATTTACCACTTTTCAGTGCATTCTGGGCATTTGGGAGGTTCTCCTGTGCTTATCTTTAAACGCTTCTAAACGCAAAGATGCATTATGCAAACTCAGCTAAACAGACTTTTTTGGGGGTTTTTTTGTTGCCTACATTTTCAGCAGTCAATTTCTATCGTTCAGAAGTGTCCCGTGTACATGGGGCCTTATTGAGAGCAGATGGTGTTTATAAATCATCCCTAGCCAATAGTGCAGTGTAGACTAACTGAGTTGCTGGCTGGATCCAAAAGGTGTTTTTTGCTTTATATAACATAACTTCCAATGACCTTTAACAGGTTGCATATACTTTTTTTTTTTTTTTTTTTTTTTTTTTTTTTTTTTTTTTTTATTTAGGCTTGGAGCATGTACATCAACGGTTTTGTGTTCTCTCCTGTAGGGTCTTCTTTCTGAGACTTACTTGGAGGCTCATCGAATCATTAAAATGAATAAAACTGAGGATGATGAGCTGGGAACAGAGGAGCTGAGTGAAGAGGAACTACGACAGATTACAGGTGTGCAGAAATGCTGTAAAAACTATATTTTAAAGGTTTTGAACTTGAGCAAAAGTGTGAATGACCCCCTGAGAAGGGCGATGGTGTCTTCAATCTCTACCGTTCACCAGTGTGCATTGCACAGAAATAGGTCTGTAACCTGGTGCCACTTTCTTTTTTTTTTTTTTTTTTTTTTTTTTTTTTTAGAGGAAGACTTCTATGAGAAACTGGCTGCTTCCATTGCCCCAGAGATCTATGGTCATGAGGATGTGAAGAAGGCACTGCTGCTTCTCCTGGTGGGTGGTGTTGACCACTCTCCCCGTGGCATGAAGATTAGAGGTACGGAATGTCTTGGTCTATTGACTTCACAAGAATGTGGTGGGTGGAGGATATCCTAGTGAAGTCTGAACATAACTTATAATTTCTTGTGATTATAAATTGATTTTGCGTCACTGTACATTGTGCATTCAATCTGACTTTATTTCCTTAACCCCCCCCCCTTCTTCTTTTTTTTTTTTTTTTTTTTTTTTTTTTTTTAAATAGGAAACATAAACATCTGCCTTATGGGAGACCCTGGAGTAGCAAAGTCCCAGCTTCTGTCTTACATTGATCGTCTAGCCCCTCGCAGTGAGTATCTTGTGTTTTAAAATCCTAACACTTCTATTAACCACCACCCGCCATATGACGGGCGCAAGGTTGTTCTCTCGTTCTGGGAGGACAACATATGACGTCGTCCCATTCTCATCCCGCATGCACGGCTCCCAGAGCGCTCAGCACGGCGATCGGCTGTGTCCCTCAAACACGGATCACCGAACCACGGAAAGAGCCGAAGATGCCGGCTCGATCATGTGATCATCCGTGTCCAATCACAGCTGATCACATGCAAACGGAAATGCCGGTTATTGGCATTTCTCTCCCCATGAGATGTCACGCTGACAGAGGAGAGGAGAGCCGGTAATCTGCATTCCTCGGAGGGGACATGTACACTGATCATCAGGGCACTGATGATCTGTGTAGCCCCAGCAGTGCCACCTGTCAGTGCTCATCTGAGCTGCCTTTCAGTGTTACCCATCAATGCCAGTCAGTGTGCATCACTGCAGCCTCATTAGCGCACATCAATGAAGGAGAAAAATCACTTATTTACAAAATTTTATAACAAACTTTTTTTTTTTTTTTACAAAATTTTCAGTGGTTTTTGGTTTAAGAAAAAATAAAAACCCCAGAGGTTAAATACCACCAAAATAAAGCTCTATCTGTCACAAAAAAATTGATAATGTCATATGGGTACAGTGTTGTATGACCGCGCAATTGTCATTCAAAGTGCAACAGCGCTGAAAGCTGAAAATTGGCCTGAGCAGGAAGGGGGTATAAGTGCCCTGTAGGCATGTGGTTAAAAGTAAAAAAAAAAAAAATAGACAATAGAATAGGTATGCATATCAAATTTACTGGCTGCATGCTTGTTCAGACTGCCAGATAACTAGCATTTGAGATGGTCTGTACTGCCAGCCCCTGTAGTTTCCCTCAGAACAGTTGTCTTGACATTTGTTTTCCCTCATGCAGGTCAGTACACAACTGGACGAGGTTCGTCTGGGGTGGGTCTCACGGCTGCTGTAATGAAAGATTCAGTCACGGGAGAGATGACTCTGGAAGGCGGAGCTCTGGTGTTGGCAGATCAGGGTGTCTGCTGTATTGACGAGTTTGATAAGATGATGGACACCGACCGCACGGCCATTCATGAGGTCATGGAGCAGCAGACCATCTCCATTGCTAAGGTGCATATCTGATGGTACACATACATTTTAGGAGGCAATAGTAGACCTTTTTATTGTATATTGAAGTGGTATATGACTTTGTTATACTTGGTTACCATGTAACTTGCATTTTTCTGTACAGTTTACATGTGTTAAATGTTTTTACTTGCTCTGGCAATGTCACTTATGCTGTTAGCCTTTTGAACAGAATTGTGTATGAAAGGTGTGGATGCTGCAGTAAATCTTGAAAAGACAAAAATCAGACAGCCACTGAGGGATCAAATTATTGGTTTACTTTTTTAATTTTTTTTTTGTGTATTTTTTAGGCTGGAATTATGACAACTCTGAATGCTCGCTGTTCCATCCTTGCTGCTGCTAATCCTGCATATGGGCGATACAACCCCAAGAAGAGTGTAGAGCAAAACATCCAGCTCCCTGCGGCC